TATATCTAGCTAGCTAGCTAGCAACAGCAGTAACAAAAGCATCAAGAGCAGCAGCATCACCATCACCACCATCATCATCAGCAGCAGCAGCAGCAGCGCCAGCAGCAGCAGCAGCAGCAGCGCCAGCAGCAGCAGCTAGCTACCTAGCTAGCTAGCTAGCTAGCTAGATACCTTGATAGCAACAACAAGCCTGGAGGGTATGTGTAGCTAGCTAGCTATCTATCTATCTATATATCTATCTATCTAGCTAGCTATCTAGCTAGCTATCTATCTATCTATCTATCTAGCTAGCTAGCTAGCTAGCTAGCTAGATACCTTGATAGCAACAACAAGCCTGGAGGGTATGTGTAGCTAGCTAGCTATCTATCTATCTATATATCTATCTATCTAGCTAGCTATCTAGCTAGCTATCTATCTATCTATCTAGCTAGCTAGCTAGCTAGCTAGCTAGCTAGATACCTTGATAGCAACAACAAGCCTGGAGGGTATGTGCAGAGCAGCAAAGACAAGGGCGCTTCTTCCGCGGCCAACGAGCTCTGCTTCGTCCCAGTTGAAGTCATCGTGACAGAGACCTGCTGCTGCTGCTGCTGCTGCTGCTGCTGCTGCTGGTGCTGCTGCTGCTGCTGCTGCTGGCCCTGCTGCTGCTGCTGCTGATGATGATAATGATGATGAGGGAGATGATGGTAATGCTGCTGCTCTTGATGGGTTTGCTGCTGCTGTTGATGATGATGCTGCTGCTGATGGAGTTCCTGCTGCTGCTGCTGCTGCTGCTGCTGTTGCTGCTGCTGTTGCTGCTGCAGCAGCAAAATCCTTCGGTGCTGCTTCATCTAGCAGCAGACCATCATCATCACTCCAGTATATTTCTTCCTGCTGCTGCTGCTGCTGTTTCTGCTGCTGCTTCTGCTGCAGCAGTGGCAACCTCAACCGCTCCTGCTGCTGCTGCTGCTGCTGCTGCTGCTGCTGCTGCTGCTGCGTGCTGCGTCTCCTGGGGGCCCTCAGGGGCCTCAGGGGGGGCCCCCCCCCGTCTATGCGCAGCAACCCCT